AAACGCGAAACCACAACAGCGGATCGCTTCTGATTGGTTACGCGGTTACGCGATACGCGGTAAATACACCTCATGGGACTCCAGCCTAAGACCAATATGTATAAAGATTTGGAGCCAAAATGGCGTCGAAAAGTGTAAATAGTACTCATTTTCATGACGTATCTACACATTAAGTAATGTATTTAATCTCTTTATTTATAAAACACACATTCATACTCATATGCATGTTTGAACCGCATGTTGGAGCCAAAATGTCGGAATGATTGCGGTACTTTATAAATCTAGTGACTTCAGTACCAACGGTTAAATCGTACCTCATCCATTGTATTTTCTAAACGAAACATTTTTTTTAAAGATATAATGATACTGATGTGACGCTGGTAATATGGGTTAAGATTTATCATTTTTGTTTTGTCTTCGATTCGTCTGTTTACGAGTGACATTTAAAATTGATTTTGTTCGATGTCTGATCTAAGTTTTGGTACAATTTACCTAAGGTGCACTTAGCATCTTCTCTCTCTTATTATGAGATATATTTATCTCATTTTAAGTGCAAACATTTTTAACCTTAGGTTAGTTCACATTGCTTGAAATCTCCAAAAATGTTTGTACTTAAAACGGGATAAATATATATTCATTCAGGCGTTGAAAAGAGAGAAAACGAAAATGCTAAGTGCAAAAAGTGCAAGCAACGCGACAGACTTATTAGGTCTGTTTTTTATTGCTGCACTTTCTGGTGCACATGGTGTAATAAGTTGAAGTGAAAACTCGCACTTATGCATTACCGGTTGATTTGTCGAATATTGATCTGTGACATATCGCATTATAATATTTACCTCATATTTCAACTCTGAAATAGTGATATTGTTAAATGTGAAAATGATTAAATTAACGCAGGATATTGATTTGGAGAATTATACGCTCATCTTACCATCGGTAGCGGTTTTCAAAATGGACATTTGATATTCGTCAATTTTGACCATGTGATTCTTTTTGTCGCTGAAACAGCCGGTTTGAGCAGCCCGTGAAAATTTACCTTAAGTCTTTGCATATTGTATTTTCTAAACGAAACATTTTTTTTAAAGATATAATGATACTGATGTGACGCTGGTAATATGGGTTAAGATTTATCATTTTTGTTTTGTCTTCGATTCGTCTGTTTACGAGTGACATTTAAAATTGATTTTGTTCGATGTCTGATCTAAGTTTTGGTACAATTTACCTAAGGTGTTATCAGCACAAGGTGGGTAATTGAATTTATAATTGATATTTAATCTCTTCGAGTATATTATAGCATCAAATTAGCAAAATATTTGTAAATTATGTTGTTATTGGCAAATTTGTAAAAATAGAGAGAGTTGGGTAAATCGTACTTGTCGCTGGTCTTTAAATTGTACCGGTACGATTTTCGCAAGTGACGCGAGCAATATGAGGACCGCCGATTAGAATTGGCGGGGGTGGTGAAGGGTCTCTACAAGCAAGATCTTAATGTCTCTACAAGCGAGAAGCTTGTAGCACATATGTAATAAAATGAGACTGTAGCACAATCTTATTTTTGCCAGATTTTCTGAAAAATGTATAAATAATGTTATTGTAATATATCTTATTGCATACCCAGTTAACACAAAGTTACATATGTAACGTACCCGTTAATAACACACGTGTTATAATTACAGTTATATTGTTGAGTGGGAAATTACAACTAACGAGTACGTTACATGTAACTTTGTGTTAGCTGAGTAGTGTGTTGTATTAAAAGTAAAAAAATGGAAAAAGAAAAATGCACAGTTTATATTGAGCGAATTCAAGTCGGCAAAGCAGTTAGGTCTGCTTGCCAAACAATTAAACATGATTGGTTGATCCACAGATAAGAACTAATCATGCTCATTCGCTCGGCAAGTATGCCTAGCCACTTTGCCGTTTTGAACTCGCCCATTTATTTCAAATGATCGGTACGTTTCAAAACTCATCGAAATTTATTTAGGCATTGTAAAGAGAGAGAAGATGCACTTAGCATCTTCTCTCTCTTATTATGAGATATATTTATCTCATTTTAAGTGCAAACATTTTTAACCTTAGGTTAGTTCACATTGCTTGAAATCTCCAAAAATGTTTGTACTTAAAACGGGATAAATATATATTCATTCAGGCGTTGAAAAGAGAGAAAACGAAAATGCTAAGTGCAAAAAGTGCAAGCAACGCGACAGACTTATTAGGTCTGTTTTTTATTGCTGCACTTTCTGGTGCACATGGTGTAATAAGTTGAAGTGAAAACTCGCACTTATGCATTACCGGTTGATTTGTCGAATATTGATCTGTGACATATCGCATTATAATATTTACCTCATATTTCAACTCTGAAATAGTGATATTGTTAAATGTGAAAATGATTAAATTAACGCAGGATATTGATTTGGAGAATTATACGCTCATCTTACCATCGGTAGCGGTTGGAAACGTCGGACAACTGTCTGTTGACTTACTCATTTCGAATCTTAACCTTCCAAAAATCGGTCAAATTTTTAGCGCGTCATTCATACCTGTCGTTGGCGCAAACGCCTATCATGAGCATTCGAATGAACTTATCACGGCGATTGATATTTACGCGGGGATCAAGGAACGTATTGTCGTTATACAGATCCGATCGCCGTATGTTGGCGAGCTTTTAGAATTTTTCAACGAAATAACACAATTTGTCACCGAGAGAAAAATAGTTAAAGTAATATTTTTAATTCTGTATTCTTTTAATAATATTGCAATTATCTCCATTTTACGAACATTTTTTTCACAGGTAATAATTCTTGCAAGCAGTCATGATTATGCAAAAAGGAAAGTCCAACCGCAGCATCTTAAGTTGAGATATGTTGCCTCTCCTAGTATACAGTCTCAGACTAGTAAACTCTTTGATGACCTCAACTGGATTCCGCATAAACCGAAAGACGTGACTGGAGAGGAAAGATTGCAGATACCAGGGGGTGGATTTGCTAAAAGCATCTTTAACTTTCTGTCCAATGCTGATATTCCTTGCGCTATCTTGTTCAAATTCTGTTCCGAAGGGGATAATATAGAAGATGCAATAGCTTTGGTGTGCTATTTAAATCAATGGATATGTGTATTAGGAACAAGCAGTAGTAATTTGAAGTATCCACCGTCTTGGAAACACTTATTTGGAAAGCCACCATCACAGGATATGTATTGATTGTATCTGGATATATTTTGTACTATTCTGTTAATCTTAAAATAATAATATTTTTGCTATGCAATATACAAGTGTATATTTGAATGTAATATACAATTTAGAACATTTTTCATATAATTTCTATGAAAAGGACTATGGTATTTATATAAAAAAGCTAACGCGGTATATGTTAAAAAAATTTAATTCCTTATGGTTTAGATGTGAATGTAGTAAATTGTAGTAGAAGCTTATGGCTTTGTTTCAAATATCAAACTTAGCGCTCGCAACACTTTTGGAATCATTTCATCTTTGTTTATCAAATATTAAACAAGGAATTGATATGAGTCTTGTGAGCACCTAGTAGAACGTATCCTATGTATATATTGTAATGTATAATTTAACTTCTTTATGGTAAATATAAAAATATATAAATAATTTTATTTTATTAAGTTTTATTTCTAAGGAAATAAATAATATTCAAATATTTTATTAATGTTTATTTTTTAATAACAAAAAATATTCTACGCTAGAAGTTTGTATTTTGCAGAAAATGCCGAATAGGATACAAGAATAGCTAAGAAAGCGGCTAAGAATTCGGAATTCACCCAAGGACCGAGGAAAATTCCCGGATTATTTAGAACAACTACTGCCAAGGGATTCACACTATCAGGATCTTCTCCATTCCTTATTGCTTTACGAACAGCGACATATTTTTCCTCGTCATACAGTTTTATGTAATAATCGCCAGATCTTGCTTTCTTGATATCTTCTGTCCAGGATATCTATAACACAGGCAAAATAGTTTCACAAGTATTAAATTATCATTGATGACTTTCATGTTGATCAGAATATCGTGTTATCATTGATGATTTTTATTAAAGTACTAGACAAAGTTAGACGATTTCAAATTCAATTTTCAATTAATAATTTGAAATCAAAATAAGTAGATTATTAAATATCTCTAAATATTATTATTTTTGTTCTATTTGTCGCACGTTTAATTTACAATCTTTGTTTAATTCAAATGTAAATTTGATTCACTTATGTTAAGACGAGCAATGTTAAAGAAGTACGTGTATATATTACCTGATATTTATTATCGGCGCTCAGTCTAACTGCTGGCAACGTCTTACCCTCGACCTCGGCATACAAACTAATTCCCTTTACACCGTTGCTGCACTTTAATACGAATTGCATGGTAAAAGCGACATTCGTGAGGACCGTCGCGTCTTCCGTCACATATGACGATGCGACGATCTCAGGTTTTTGACAAGTTTCAGCAAAAGCCACAGAAATTAAACTCGTTAACGCGCACAAGAAAAAAACCTTGTTCATCTTGTAAGTTTTGATGTTCTTTCCAACAATTTTGACAACTGTCCACGATAAATATTAGTTGGAATGTGCGCCTTCCAGCAGTTCCAACGTGCGCCAAGTACGCCAATAATATAATTCCAACCGGCCACCTACCGACCTAAACATGCCACGTCGATACACGCAACGCTTACATGCGCTTACTTGACACGCCGTCTGGTGAACCTTAGAACATATATACCTGGAAGGGGAATGAAGGATCGTGGCCTGTGTCCAAGTTGGGTGCGAGAGAGAACCACATTTTAAAGAAAGAGAAGGGTAGATTGTTACCTCCGTCCGCAATGCGCAAGCGCGAATGAGCGAAACGGCGCACAGCTTTAGCGCGTTTTATTTGTAAGAGAGGTTAGGGTTAGGAAATGAAGGTGTCACCTAAAAAGTTATATTTTGTAGGAAAAAATGCCAGGCCCATATTGTGTCTTATGCGGTAAACGTGATAAATCGGTATCTTATCATGGGTAACTAATACTGTAATATGTGGTATAAACAGTAAATTATAGGATGAAATATAACTCTCTCTATCTCTCTGAGTACGATGCTTGTTGATAATAAAAATTTAATATTAAGTTCATTCTCTCTCAATAGATTTCCGAAAAACGACGAAACTCGTAAGAAGTGGCTTGATTTTTGTGGCATTGATGAACATGTTTTAAGCACAGCTACTAAACTGTGTTCAAATCATTTCGAAGAAGACAAATTAATCCACAAATCTAAGAATACGTTTCTCAAGCCCAATGCTCTGCCAACTATTACGAGTAAAAAGAGGAAGAAACATCAATGTTTAGATAGCAGTCTGAAAAAATCAAAAAATTCGAAAAATATCAGTGAGGAAATAGTCAGCAATGGAACTGTCAATGATAAAATTCATCATAATAATGGAACTGCCTTTAACATGACTGTCAATGATGGAATTGTCATTAATGATGGAGTTATTACCAATGGAACTATCCATATAACTGTGGATGATAGAATTATTGATGAGACTATAGACAATGAAATTATTGATATGACTGTGGACAATGGAATCGTCAGCAATAGTGGAATCAGTGATGAAATTGTCGACAAGACAATCCATTGTGATAATGACATCATCACCGATGAAACTGTTCCTATGGGAATCCATCGTGATGATGGAAACATTATTGACGAAACCGAGACACTAAATTCTGATACTTGCCTAACTGTGAATCGTCCATCTACACCTCCAAACTCTGAACGGAGTAATTGTTTCCAAACACCTGTCAAAAATTTACATGACCCTCGTTTTGTTGGTGCCATTAGAACGCCACATCTTGCCACGCCAAGGAAAGCTCTAAGAGCTTTAGAAGTAGCGAAACGAACAATCGAAAAACAGCGAAGGAAAATCAAAACGTTGCAGCAGGCCAAAATCAGATTAGTTGGTCGCATAACAACGCTAAATGGACTAATCAAACATTTAAAGCAAAAAGATCTATTATCGGAAACAACAACTGATAATTTAATGGTAACTATTGGCTATTTCTGAGAAAAGAAATTCCATATATGGACAAATTTCATATATAATTATATCTGAAATATGACATATTTTATATATGATTATATATAATCATATGATTATTTATAATTGTATATGACATTTGTCCAATAAATTGTAAAAAGTATCGCTCTATTGATTAGCTGCTAGATAATGTATAATAATTAATGTTTGAATAAAAAAAAAATAAAACAATTTGTAAAAAAAAGTCCGATTTTGATACATCATGACCTTTTTACTTTTTATTCCTACATTTAAATTAAGTAATTAATGGACATATAAGCTCCTATTTTTATAATACAACTTTTACTTTTAATTGTATATTTAGAGTGATTAATGTGAAGAAAATTTTTTATTTTTATACATCAAGATTTCTTTTTTTATTTGTACATTTAGGTTGAAGCTCCAACAGTATTAAATGAGATTTTGAAACGAAAAAAAGGTTTGAGAAAGAAATACCCTGCAGAACTAAGAGCTTTTGCCCTTACGCTGAACTTCTATTCGCCCAAAGCGTACAAATATGTACGTAAAACTTTCAAAAATTTTCTTCCAGACCTTTCAACAATCCGTAAGTGGTATTCGGTATTAGATGGTCGACCTGGATTCACTCACGAAGTACTTGAAGCATTAAAGTGTAAAGTTTTTAAGTCAAAAACACCGATTTTCTGTAATTTGGTAGTAGACGAAATTGCGATTCGACAGGGCATAGTATATGATGGTAAACGGTATTACGGACCTGTAGATTTAGGTATACATATGAGTAATGATACAGATGTTCCTCGACAAGCAACAAATGCATTAGTATTTATGGTAGTCGCATTGAATGACCACTGGAAAGTTCCCGTTGGATATTTTTTGATCGATGCTCTAAATGGTAAAGAAAGAGCCAGTTTGCTAGAAAAATGTTTCGAAGTTATTTATGAAACTGGAGTAATATTGCATTCAGTAACATTTGATGGTGCAATCGTTAATTTGAGCATGTGCACTGCTTTAGGTGCAAATTTTCAATTGGGAAACAATTTTCAGCCGTATATTATTCACAGTATAACAAAAGAAAAAAAATTCTGCTTCTTCGATCCATGCCACATGCTCAAATTAGTGCGAAACACTCTAGGCGATAAATTAGTATTATATTATAAAGGCAAAAGTATTAATTGGCAAAATATTGTGTCCTTACAAACATTACAGGAAACTGAAGGTTTAAAAGCTGGTACAAAGCTAACAAAAAGGCACATCTTGTATAAGAATTCGAAAATGAACGTAAAATTGGCTGCCCAAACACTCAGTGATAGTGTTAATACAGCTTTGAAAGTTTGCAATCAATACTTTCCTAATCAGTTTACAAATGCAGAAGAAACAGCTTTATTTTGTTCTATATTTAATGATGCCTTCGACATATTAAATGTAAGATCAAAATTCTGTAAGAAAAAAAAGTGCAATATGCCTCTCACCAATGAAAATTATAATGAACTTAAGAATTACGCGGGGATTATTATAGAATATATAAAACAATTGCAATATTCTACAAACGAATCGATTTTGAAGAGTAATCGAAAGACTGGCTTTTTGGGTTTTATAATTTGCTTAATAAATATATTTGATTTATTTGATATATTAAAAGAAAAAGGTCTAAAATATTTACTTACGTACAAAATAAACCAAGATCACTTGGAAACATTTTTCAGTGCCCTACGTAGCAGAGGGGGTTTCAACGACAACCCTAATGCCAAACAATTTGAGAGCAGTTATAAGCGCCTGCTTGTTAGGCATGAAATTGAAGCTTCTGAAAGAGGGAATTGCCTAATAGATGATGTGCAAATTTTATATGCATCATCAGCAAATAAATCAAATATAATAAGCGATGGTATATTCACGGAAGCCAATGATACGATATGTACTGATGCATTTGATCATGATTACTTGTCTACCTTATGGTCATTAAGTTCTTATATCGAAGATGTGGTCAAATACATCAGTGGATTCGTAATTAGAAAGCTTTTACGATGTAATATTTGTGATACATGCTCTATTTTTTTAACTGCTAAATCTACTGATTCAATATTAATAACTTTAAAAAGTAGAGGAAAATTGATTTTTCCATCAGAAGATGTCATAAAAATAGCAAAAGTATGTGAAACTATTATTCGAGAAAACAGTCATATTATTTTTAAAACTAAAAATATTAAAAATGTGTTGTGCATGAAATCATTTCAAACTGTTTGTCATTTAGTTTTTAATGATAATAAAATGATGGAACATATTATGCAACAAGATATTTTCAATAACCATAAGACTGAATTAATACAAAGTATTATTAAAATTTATATAAATTTGCGTTTGTTTCACGAAGGAAAAAGTGCGACTGATATTAAGCAAAAAGATTTTATTAGACAAAAATATTCAAAATTAATACACTTTAAACACCAATAATATATACATATATATATCTCCAATGTTATTTTGTTCTTTTGCTTGTATAAAATAAAGTTTATAATTACTTATCACTTATGTACACTGTCCGACATTACTTATCATTTATTCAATCATTGTCAATTGTATTTCAATTAAAAATTACAGTTTCAAACGGCGCGGTGAGTGTGACGTGTGGCGTCATCCGCGCTTGCGCATTGCGAGCACAGGTTAAAAGCTATCTTTCTCTCTCGTACCCAACTTAGACACAGATTTTTACTATGGAGAACATAGCAATTCCCCTTCCAGGTATATATGTTCTAAGTGGTGAACAAACGTGAAAGGCTTAAACATGCCACGTCGATACACGCAACGCTTACATGCGCTTACTTGACACGCCGTCTGGTGAACAAACGTGAAAGGTGTTGCAAGATCTGGGAATCGATTTATTTTAAAACAAAGGAGAAATTATAAATGTGAGCAAATTTTTTAAGCCAGTAAAATTATAAATATTCTAAATTAAGTACTTTAAATATTCTGAATTTGTTCATGATTTTCACCTCAATTTAAGATAATAGAGATAATATCGAGTATTGTCCAATTTTTTTTCTATTTATACTTTTTTTTAAAATACTATTTTCTCGACTATTTTATGATTTACATTGCTAATGAATAGTTGAATATAATGAATTCATGCTTTTGGATCTAATTATTTAATTACATTTAATTGCAGGGATGGGAAAGTTATTTTTTACATATTATATGTTACCTTTTACATGTGTTGAGTATTATAGAAATTAAGTATAAAAAAGTAATATGAAATTTGAGCAAATAAAACATAAGGTAATTATTTAGAATACCATACTGTATCTAAAATCTCAATAAAAATACACTCATTCGACGCGTTTTCATTCAAAACGAAAGAATCTGGCAAAAAAATGCGGCGGTCGGCCTCGTGAACCAAGATATTGAGTGTTAAAGTTCGAGATTTTAAAGGTTAAAATATCTATCATCCGGACTCAATATAGCGCTATGTATACGTTCTGCTTTAATTACACAAATTCATTGCTTTAAAAACAATTTCTCTGTTTCACAAATACAAATTCACTACTTTAAAAACACAAATTTACTGCTTTAAAAATATAAATTAATTGTTTTAACCACACAAATTCCTTGCATTAACAGTGAATTTATATTTTTAAAGCAATGAATTTGTGTTTATGAAACAGAGAATTTGTTTTTTTAAAAGCAGTGAATTTGTGTAATTAAAGCATAACGTATACATAGCGCTGTAGCGAACGGAGATGACAGAGAGATATCTTAATCTCTAAAATATCAAACTTCAACGCTGATCTCGATTCACGAGGCTGACCGCCGCATTTTTTTGCCAGATTCTTTCATTTATGAGTGAAAACGCGTCAAATGAGTGTATTTTTATTAAGATTTTAGGTGGGGTATGATATTCTAAATAATTACAAACATAATATAACGACAAATAAAATACCCAAACTTTTGTACTCAATTTCTAATATAAATACGTACGTACAAGATAACCTAAAAAAATAAAATATGTAAGCAACTTATAAAGTAACTTCCTAACCCTGTTTAATTGTATTCTAAAATTATAAATATTTATCAATTATTCGACTACAATTGTGATCACGTGGTTTCACGACTGTGGACAGTGCATTGTGGACCACGTGAGATGATATAATTCACCATAACCTCAAATCAGAAAATGTACATTGATATACATGCAATATTTGCATGAGAATATTTGACTAATAGTATAAAAAGTTTTAGTGTGATAAATACTTATTTATTCAGATTTATTTCTATCATATCAATTTTTCTATTCGCACGATCATGACAGTTCAGAATGAGAATGAAGAAAAAAGAGATGAAAGTGGTGTCAGTCAAGGAACAGCCTTGGATAATGAAAATTTATGGGGATCTGATATGTATCCAGAAAGGAGAGGAGGAAAATTTCAGCACAGTTGGCTTAAGATATTATTTGGTGCTCAGGGACGTGAATCAATAGACAAAAATCGATGCGAACACAATGTTTATAAATGTATACAAGAAGGTAAGATATCTCTTATTTATACGAGAAAAAATAGAAATCAAAGTGTGATTCGCAAACTTACTTTTGATGCCTCATAAATAGAATTTATCTATTAATTTAATTTGCTTTTATTGTGTAAAAATATAACATTTATTATTTTTTATTTTTTGTTTTATATAATTAAATCTAATATCATTTTTTTTCATTATTTATGTTATTTCTAGGTCCTATAATAAAACTCATGATGGGAGCACTGAAGAGTTCTGGATGGTTTGTAATTTGTTTTTCATGATGTATATATATAT